CAGAAGCGATTGTTGTAAACTAAAGAAAAATTTGAATTTATCGATTCTTACTGAACTTAGAATATTACGTGAATGAAAATATCGAGAGAGGAAAATCTGGGCAGCGAGTAACTTGCATCACGTCACTAAGCTCTTGCTAATGTCTCGTCAAATGCAGTAACCGTAATAACGAATCAAAAAATCGCTTTAGAAATATATGGGAAAATAATGCAATAAAAAAACAAAACCATTCGTACTATACCTCTTTACTCTCACGAAGTATATGAATTCCAAGCATTACAAATACTTGCAGAATATATTACTATTTCCTTGATTTTATTATTATTTTCAACAGTTTATCATCTGCCACAGCAATTTTTCATTTTAAATTTAATATTACTGAAAAACCTTATGATACATGCTGAAGCTTAAGCTACAGTTCCATGTCAACAAATCAACAATATCTTTCCATCGAAAACGTCACGTTCCCCTCACTTCGTAGCGCTTACAAGTTGAAAAATTTCGAGAGTTTTTCTCGAGTTTGAAGCGCTTCGAAGAAATCGTTCATCTTCATTAAACTTCGCTCGGCTAAACGCTAAGCGTCTGACAAGCATCGCAGTTACTGTCACTTAAAATCGACAAGAATAACTCTTTTCCAATGACAAGGTTCGTCGATGAGACGTTAGAAGAAGCGAGTCAAGTTTCCTGTACTAAGGATAATCGTGATCATAAAGCACTCAAACCTCCAAGGCAAGGGTATCGATTTCAGATATTGTATCGTTGCGTCATAGAGCCAGGAACCAAGCGGGAAATTTTGAAAATTGATCGGCAAATGAATTTGTATCGAATAATTCAACAAATTCCAATTTATTGTGTTCACTTAATTATTTGCATTAATTTAATACGACAAAATGATATGAATTCAATTTATTAATGTCATTTTATATATTGATTTACGTGCAGGCAAAATTCTGCATGTCTGATGTAAAATGCAGAAATTTCCTTATTGGTTTTTCCCAACAAATGCAACTCAGAGTAGAAATTTTTCATAATTCATATCCTAGGATAATTTAAACTCCTCAATTCATTGGAAAAAGAGCAGCCAGCGTTCATAACACTGAGATAACAATGCGTTCTTTCAATATTAAAGAATTCTAAAATTCCATCGTGCCTCAATTCACCGAGGATGCCGAGGCTAGTGGAATGAGCATTGGAGCAAGTCGCGGAAAATTTCAAACCAAAAGAAAACCCCGAATAATTTCAGAAAAATATTCCGCTTTATTAAAAATATTTTTTCTTTGTAACTCCTATTGTGGCTTGTCAGCCATTCACAGGTGGAAATCAACGAGAATATTTTATCAGAACTAATGCTGATTAACATATCATAAATGCTTATGAAAAAACAAATTTAAGTTGTGAAATTTACCAACCAATTACAGTAGAATGAAATGGAAATTGTCTCGCCGTTAATGGTTTTTTTTTGAGCATCCACACTTTATCGTGGTTGGGTAGGAACAGCTTTGCTTGTAAATGATATTCATCACTAAATTATAAATAATCAAACATGCAAGATTACTTTAATAGCCAATTTTATCCCCACAGTTAAGTGTTTGTCGCCTGCCACTTATTGGCTTCATTTGAACAAATGCTGTAATAGATATAAACAAAAAAGTTAACGATATTTTAGCGCCAACTCTTTAAGTTGAGGTTAAACTTGGCTGATGCAATATGGGGATGCGTCCATTCTGCGATTTTGAATATGTACAGCAGACGCATGAAAGCCAACAGTATAAATTTACGCTAAAATATCGATTAAAACACGGCTATATAATGATTTAATATCCAAATTTAACACCTATAAGCAATTTTGAACAGCTGTTATAACGTCACCGAAAAATTATCAATGAAAAGAATAAATGCAACAGTCATAAACAAATAACTTGTGCCAAAAAAATCAACACAAAAAAACTGCTAGCACCTGTAGATTAATGAAAGTTCAGTCAATGAAGCTGGGATACCAGTTCGACCGACCCATTCATTCGCTTCTGGAGCAATCATCGAGTTAACCCTTGGCATCGTAAGCGGGCATTATTTACGATTTCTCTGCGGCGATCAACCGAAGCATTACCTTCTTCGTTCCGTTTCTTTATAACCCAATTATGATCGTTACGCGACGATGGTGTCCAATATTCTCGACCTCTTACTGCTTCTTCTAACTTCTCCGAGATCTCCAAAAGGGCGCTCGAAACCATTCCTCTATCGGAAGCCAGTGAAGGTTGAGAGTAAATTGGAATTGAATATTATTATTATTTTAATAGCAGTTTAACTGCGGCATCAGTTGCATAGTGAAACATTGTATTCCACGTCGATTTAGTCGAAAAACGAATAATTGATCGAAGATAACATTTTCGACGAGATCGGGAGGAAAACCAAAAGTAAATTGTTTTTGCTTAATGCAAAAAAAAATATTTTTATTGTAACATTCTAAAGATCAGATGTGCATAAAATTCCGTATTTAGACATTTTATTCCGCATTTACGTTACGATCATTTTTTTACAACTTTTTATCATAGTATGGCTCCCTTTGACCTGATTCCTCTCCCGAAGGATATATCAATACGCTATATTAGTAAAATCAATAGCAGTCTCACGAATAATTTCGATATCAATCAAATGACAAAAAGAGCTGTTGGAAAGTTGTTACCTGATATTAGATGTTTTGAAACTAGATGCGAACAACGGACCATTTTTATCGTTAACATTAATGAATGAAATTACGAAGATTAATTAAAATGAATAATTAAAATCAGTATCAGTTAATATGCCTTATCCAAGCAAAAACAAATCATGAGCAATTTGATAATTTAAGAACTAAGTTCCTAATTTCTTAGGTGCAATGGCATAATAGAATTTTAAACCACATAAATTTATCAGGTAACTTCCTCAATAAGTGAAAATTGCGTGGAAATGAGCAAGAATTTCTGTTATATAAAAATGAATTGTATTTGTTTCAAAAGACTGCATCGTAAAAACCCGATTATAAATTAATAATAAGCAAATTATTTTTTTACGATAATATTTTAGTCATATTGTATCGTAATGTTCCTGAACGTCGATGAAACATGTTCTTTCAATTTTTTGTAATTACTCATCATTTTCATCATTAGTGCACGTATTATCATAACTTTCTCAAGTATACCTAACGGCCTAAGTACATGTAGAGGCCGAGTTTTCGTCTGCGATAGGTGTGTTCAGCTTGGAAAGTCGTCAGTAATTAGCTGACGGAGTTACAAACTTATAACTTATTATCATAGTATGGCTCCCTTTGACCCGATTCCTCTCCCTAATGATATATTATCACGCGATATTAGTCAAATCAATTGCTGTCTCACAATAATTCCTATATCAATCACTAATTTCACACCGTTTTTTTTTTGTACCTGAATAGATTACTATGTAAGTGAAGAATTTTTTCAATTAGTTTACAGAATCAACATTGTAATTTTCCATTCCAGCCTTACGATTGCGGACACTTTATAGGGAAGTCAACTCCCAAGCAGGATAGGAACCATTCCTTAGCTGGTAGGTCAACTAAAATACCACCAAGAAGGTTCATTTCCGATAAAACTTCTTCATAGAATCAGACATCATTTAAGTCCCTTAGGAAATTTGTGAAAATTTAAAATTGGCAAGTTATGTGGAAAAAAATTGTCAGTCCAGTCCTTCCAATCGGTCTTAATTGGTACCGTGATAACAATGAAATTTTATATTCAAGCAATATTCTGAAGCGGATACGCTCGCAAATAAATCACTATGTATTTTCAGCATCTGCATGGCTTCTAACAAACACACAAAAAACATATCTCCTAAATATATGATATATGATATATGATGTTTATTTAAAACTTTTTGATAATAAAATAATATTAACACTCGAAATTACGCAAAAATGTCATTATATATCCATTGAACCTAAAAAGGATCTAATCGGCGAGTAGAGACATATATAAAAAAATGTTCAATAGGACTTATTCCTTTTCCTCTATAAGTTGCAATTTTTTCGTAACCAAACTAATCACTAAATTGTACATGGTAATACATATCAGAAAACGAAATACTAAGATATACAGTATACAAAATCAGTTTCATTTGCCACAAAACGCATTTCCTGTATCAAGATTGATGCCCTGGTCACACGGTCCCCGAACGTCCATATGTCAGCGGTAGGCCTTCACAGGCCGGATTAATATCGACGCTTCTGGGATTGTCAGGAGCGCCGTACGTTGTTTCCTTGTTTTATCGAGATTGCCGGTCACCAAACTTGCAGTAGCTGATTTTCGGACATGTTCTGAACGTCGGACATGTTAACACCTGAAAAAATGGTGTTTGATTTTTATCTAACAGTACAATGATTTTGATTGCGGCTTATAGACTTAATGTTTGATTTCCAGGCAAGTTTAGATTCTAACTGCCATGAGTTTCATTTTGAAAATGTATCTAATAAGATACAGGTACAAGCAAAGAAAAGACTCAAGCAATACACTAATACGTATAACTTCAAAAATATATATTCAATTGTTATTTTGTAATATATATTCTTAGACAATTGAGAAACCAAGTTTTCAGTTCATTTTATTGTTTGTTTGTATGGTGATAATTTGAGAAATCAACCTCGGGACGAAAAACTTCGAAAAAAAATTAAAAATTCATGAGGCGTTTTCAAAATCGATAATAATTTCACAACATATTTTGAATAATTTTTGCCACTAATTTAATTGTTGTTTCGGGTTCTTAAATTTGAGCATTTGAACAATGCAATGTTTTTGGTGGTTATACGCATATACCTGTATGATAATATAAATATTATTTTACGTTGTACTGAAACTTTAGTAAAATATTTCTATTTATGTGTCCCTCTATCTCCACGTAAGCTTTCATAATTATGGATGACTGCAAAATATCCGATGATGTGACGTTCTCAATGCTCGAAATTGCTGATCGCAACTTTATTTTCTCTACAGGTCACGCGTTCGAAGAACTCGAATCCAACGTCCCCGATCTCATCGTCTACAACGAGGAATATTCACAATTGGCTAATTTAAATGCATCGAAGTCAGAGCTAGATCCGAATTTCTCGAATCCAATGAATTGGCAGAATGATTTTCCCTTCATGGATTTGAACCAGCCTTCGCTGTACAAAAGTGACGATTTGATAGGCTGTATTGAGCAGGTCAACGAGAATCGATCTTTTGATGGAAATTTCTCTTTGGAATCTGACGTGAGCTCTAATTATCTCTTAATAAACTCATCACTCTCAACGATTAACCTGGTGACTGATTCAGTTGCAAGAAAACCAAAAGGCTTCAAAAGGAACAAACTCTGGCGAAACCTTAGAAATAATTACGTCCAGAACTCTTCTAAGAATTCAGTGGTCAGAGTAAACATGAAGAGCAAGAAGTTGTACATGAACAAAAATAAAACGATTTCACCTACTGACTCCTATGAAAATTTATCAAAGAAAAACAATGTATCAGACTCGAACACGGCCGAGGATATTTTTATGGACCGAGAAAAGACTTTTCTCACTCGCCATTTCTTGAAAGTGGCTCCTCAACGGGAGTCCCTCTTTACGACCCTGGCACCACTCACTTCGACAATGAGAGTTCGAAGTCGCATGAGCAGAGACAACCGGAAGACCATCCAGGCCATTGAACGAGAGAGAAATCATCAAGCACAAGAACTGAATCGTGTGAGTGTTGACTATACTGAATCACACCAGCCGTTTAACCGGAAACCTGCCAACCTTCCTGGCACTAATAAAAATTATGGCGCGAACGATCAAAATTCTTTAGGCCACAAAGTGTATCAACCACATTCATCGCAAGCTTCGGATCAGATAAACGAAATTAAACCTTCCCACTATGGTGACATAGAGATTGCTAACGAAAACCATCTTGTAAAGCCCACCAGTCAAGCAATATACCCTTCACTGCCGGTGATTCAGCCCCTGCAGCAGCACGTAAAGCCGAAACTGAAATCTGAATCTCAGCTGCACTTTCCTGGAGGACGTGTCCAGCTAAGTGGCTCCAGCAGCAGTCCAGTAGAGCCGATAAAACCTCTTCTGCAACTCGGAGGCCGTGGAGGCAGCGTGCTGCCTCAGCATCCAGTCTTCGATGACGCGGCGCCCAAGAACCTTACAGGACTCACTGGCAGTGCCGCGTATCTTCACTGCGTTGTTCACAACTTGGCCAACCGAAGCGTGAGTAGACTATACGTTACTTACGTTAAGAATATTCTATGTCACAAATTAAAATAATTGTAGTTTTATTGGCCAATCGAAGCGTGAGTAGACTATACTTTACTTACGTTAAGGATATTCTATGTCACAAATTAAAATAATTGTAGTTTTATTGCCCAACCGAAGCGTGAGTGAACTACACTTTACGTTAAGTATGTTCTTTTTTCCTAATTTAGATTAATGGAGTTTTATCACAGAAACGTGATATATTAAGCCAAATATTTTAGCCCAGTGGACAACCTATTATTTAAGCGTGCAAGTATGCCATTGTATTTACTTTTTCCGATTAAAATCAAGTTTGTTATGTGTCACTGTTTCGACTCTGCATATTCTGCGGTTCAAAACAAGATGACCCACTAAAATTTTCTTAAAAGTTGGTCATTTCAGGTGTCAGAAAAAGAAGATGGATGGATAGAGAATACAGGTCTATCATTTCTTTGCTTTTAAGTAGTCTAAATTTTTGAGATTAATTAAAATACGTCGCAAACGTTTAAAATATATGTATGCACATCTAACCTCACCTGCAACAATCCATTCATATTTAATTCAATATTCTAAAGTATATCGTGTAAACTTAGGTGTCAGTAAAGGCAACCTTACTTCGTATAAGTGGCGATACGCTCATGAAATTCGACGCTGTGGTAGAATAAAAAATGCTCCCACAGAAGCTCTTTTCCCTCGTGGGATGAAGCATCAGAGCTCTAACTTCCTGCGAGCTGAGCACGATTCAAGAGATATTTTCGAAATCCTCTTTGCTAAGATCTTTTAATTTTATCCCCACTGAAGATCGGCTCTTAGCAGCAGCTTAGCGAATCTGTAGAATATTAAAAAATTTAACCCATGTGATAAAACTAGCCGAACATTCATCAATGTGAAAAATAAAGTTATAGGCCTGGAGATTTGAAAATTCTAAATTTTGTATGCGACGCGGGAATTGTGTTAACTCATTGGAGCCATGATGGAGCGTTGCTTTCGAACTTTTATTCCTAAAAAATTCGTGAGGCAAAATTCTACTTTTTCGCTCCAAGGCTAATACGATGTATAGCTAAAAAGTTTGCTTGAAAACTTTCGATGATGAAAGATCGCGAGCATTCGAACTTTCATACAGTTGGAAATTGAAAATAAAAAGAGAGTATTTACGTACGTTCACACTTGAGACTGTTTTTCACCCTGGCAAAGACGATTCACAATTAAATTTTCATTGACAAAAATTTTTACTTCACCCTCGTTGAAGGGAGTTCACAAAAAGAGTAATATACATTTGTCATGAAAAACATCAGATTGGAAACAGAGGAGATATTATTTGCAAACCACAATTCATTGAACGTCTGTCAATCTTATATACATTTCTCCCTTTAAAACTTTCGGAACATCAGGGAAGGCCATTACTCTGCCTCGTCGAGGCGTCATTTGTCTATCCGTCATAAAAGGCCTCCCTTGAACATCGTCTAAAGTTCGATTTTCCCGGAGCTCATTTCCATCCCAGCGCAAAGAAGCCGTAAGAAACAGGCTAGCGTAAAAGCTGCAAATAAACTCCAGATGTAGGGTTACGTTGCCCACGGGTGTCATGGAACTCCCTGGAAACTCATTTGTTTCGCCAGTTATTGTTGCCATCTTTTGACAATTGACGGGTTCTGCTCCCTGGCTCCCCGCCAACAATAGCCATGGGGCTTCGCCAGAATCTCTCATCGCTTCGAAATTGTTGCCCAAAACCCATACATTTCGAAATACCATTCACGAATTTTCTAAAACATTTTGTCGGCCCTTCGTCGTACAATGCAAGTTCTGGCTAGGAAAAAGGTCGTACAGCGATAAGAAATATCCTGTTTGTGTCGACATTGAACATGACGACCTTATCATTTAGATCCATTTTTGCATGACCAAATTTTGTCGAAGGTTTACTTTACAAAGCACAGTAATGCGGTTGTGAATCCATTACAACGTGTATTGATTCCAGTCACAAAATTTCCAGCTTTGACTTGAATAACATGGGATCCGTAGTTACCATTAAATTTCTGCTTCATGCATGATAGGCGGTAATTATCCTAGTTACGAATATTCGTGTGCACGAATCGTTGTCTGGTACAAAGCCTTACTTATATTGTGTGGCACAATACCAAGGAAATGCCTAATGAGCTTCCATATTCTGAAGAAAGATAATGAAGGCGCCGTTCCACCTTCTATTGAATTCTTGAGGAGGATTATAAATTCATTTGAAGTTAGGCTTTTCAGTCAAGCGCTTGGCATGTTCTGTATGCTCAAGGAATTAATGGATAGAATATGATAAATTTATTACGCAGAATATACGTTTCATCAAAGTGATGATATGCAATAATTATTATTACCAGCCACAAAATGTTTAATATATCAATGATATTTCATTAGTTTATGATCTGAATAAATCGAAAAAGTTGGAAAAATAGTCCTCTGTACGCTTTTTAATGATAATTTCGCGGTTTACAACTTTTAATTTAAAATAATGTTGTTTTGCTTAAAATAGTATTCAGAAATAAATAGTGGTTTGAAATAGTTTCTTTGTATGTATGGACATTTTTTGCCACGTCTAATTAATACAATAGGACGATATTAATAATTATAATTTGTTCTGCAATCAAAACAATTATTTGAAAGCCCGCGACAATGTTCGATGAATTAAATTAATTAAATTAAAATTAATTAAAAATTAAATTAAAATCAAATAAAAATTAAATTAATTAATTAACAATTAAATTAAAAAAAATCACTCCGAGAAAAAAAAAATGAATTACCATTCAATCATCGTTTGTTCCTTGCAATGTAGAACAGTTTCTCAAATAAGTGGATTAATTCTAGTATGCAATTAAAGTTGTAACCGTTTCCTCCTATGTACATTGGACGCGCAATATTCAACATAAAACTTCGTGGTTCGGGCCGCTGTTCCGCTGAGTGACTTGATAGCCGCAGGAAATTAGAGCAGGCGGCCGAGTTCTCCCGCTAATAACCGAGAACGGAAACCTGACCCCAACAGGAAGAGAAAAGACGGCACTCGAGCCCGAATGGCCCTAATGTTCGTGCAGTTGAAATTTAATGGAGCCCCGTAAGCTCTTTTGTCACAAGTAAAACCCCAGGTTCAATTTAATCCAATAACGCCGGGAACGTGTGTTTACAGGGGACGTATTCGAACGGTAATTACGGAGCCTGAGTGAAAATTGATGTGGAAGTAAATTACTGTCTAGATAAAGACCTCTGGCGATAAATTTTCCCCTCAATGTTCACGTAAATAAATACCTGGCTTGCATGAGCAAAAAATTCATAAAAATTGTGTGCTTTTCAATTTAAGGACTAGGAGAATATATAATCTAATCGTAAAAAGTAATCAACGCTTAAATTTGTCTTCAAATAACTGTCAAAATATTGAATCAACTATTGGTTTCTTCTGGCAGGTATCTTGGATACGTCAAAGAGATCTGCACATTCTAACAGTCGACCGCTACACTTACACCACCGATCAGCGATTCCAGGTATGAGTGTGTATTGGTATGAATTTGTTTGCATCGTGTCCTAAGTTAGACAAACATGACAACAACGTCAGGCTTCGTGACGACCATGACAACAGCGTCAGGCTTCGTGACGACCATGACAACCTGTCTCTTATACACATCTAGATGTGTATAAGAGACAGCCACGATGATCAGGTAAGCCAGTCCCCAAGTCTTCATTAATCAAAAAGAACTCTTTTATTTCCAGCCTCTTATTTCTTCTCGAGCTCGTCTATCCAGGCCGGCCGCTTGATCATTAGGTTGATCTTGGAACTACCCCAGAAAAAATTGATAAAAAGCATTCGTCCATTTTTTATTATTTTCCAGATTAGTCATCATGGCGGCCGGATTGGCTGCTAATTTATGCAATTCAAAATTAGGCAAATTTGTTTCCAGCCATGATACAGTTTTCCTCAATTCAGTTAGTCACATTCAGATAAAATAGTTCTCCAAATTTTTCCTTTCAAAATTTTAATCGTTTCTTAAGACATGCTCTATTCTCGCATCACTGCGTAATTATTATATTGATTATTAAATTTAATTGTTATATTATTTAATTGAGTAGAAATCCTGAAGTTTTAGTCTGATAACGCGAACGATGTCATAGCATCAATGAAAAGTGAAATTTGACGTTAATCCATAAATACTAAGCACCAATAATCACTGTAAACTTTAGACCGATATTCCACTGAAATCCCATCCGAAAACATAAATTAATGTTTGTTCATGTTGAATAATTTATAACGAGGACGCCAGTACCTGTACAGTAGAGTTTATTTAAACATTCATTTACGTATATTTTGTAAGTTTCTACATTGATTTACTGTTCATTTCGTTATTTGCTTTTAGAAACCTGGATTATTCAGAGAGGCACTGCACTGCTTCAGTTGAGCATTAATAACTCAAGTCATCATTGAAAATGCACGTTGCCGGAGTCTCTCACCGGACAAGCTAATTTTTAAAACATCAAAGGGCTGTTGGGATTTCCTCGGCTAGAGGAAATTCCCTGATTTGCCCGTTGAAACTTTGATTATGTGTTCAACTTTCCATTTGTTCCTAACAATACAGTTGTTGCAAAAATACATTATGATCCGTTGTTTTTGCAGTGTTGCCAGGAATGTATTTTTTGAGTTTTACCTGTTGAAATCATTCAACTAGAGCTATTCTGAAACTCTTTAGATCAAATTAACTTTTGGATTGATTAACTTACTGAACTGTATTAACTTTTTTACTTTGGAATTTCATTTTGAAAAAAAGGTTCTCTGGAGAAGTAGTGGAAGGCAGCTAAAATGACTTATATAAACATGCTGTTTTTTGCAGACGTTATGAATGAAACTTGGAGCTATTTTTCAATAAAATCAAAATAAAAAAAATCACTTACCGCAATCAAAATCACTTACGGCAATCAAATTTAAAAAATTATCCACTTTGAAACAATGTACGTTGAAAGTCATTCATTCAAATTTACATGAGCACGTGTGGCAGTGGCGGCTTCATTTCAGTTGACAAATGCTTCACTAAGTGAAAAAAATATTACACGCATCGCCCTCCGCTGGAAAATGAACTCAAATGACCATCACTTAAGACACTGAACGTAAGCAACAAAAATGAAATACCACCCCAGTGCTCCAGAATCCTTGAGCTGCAGAACTCGCAAATTTGCGGCTGACAGTCCTAGAGTTTGCCTCGTCCGGAAATCGTAGCGTGAAACTTCGTTTTCGAGTTGGTAAATCCGCGCCTTGCGCTTCTGTCGATGTCGGCCGTGTTCAGTGCACTTTTAATTACTTCCGAATTTACACGTTTGATTTTATTTCCCTTCAGGTTGTGAACTACGACTCGCCTAGAGGTGGCGTCACTGTGGTCACTGAGAGAGGAAACGTAACTCGTGGCTATCTCCTGATACAGGTTATTGTACTTTTTATTATAATAAGTTTTTATATAGTTTACCAAGCAATGTCCAGGGTTTAGAGCATATCATAAAAGGAAAGCAATGTTCAGAGTTAAAAGCATTTCATTAAAGGAACTATATCATTATTTATTGACACTGCTCAGCTGTTCTTTATCAACATTTCTTTTCTCATACGAAGTGATAGCGACACTTTAAATATTCACTGCGCTAGAAACGCGTCAATCTTGTTTATACTCTCCTGCTATCATATTAAAGGCCACAACGATCCAATGATATTTATTTACTCACTACATATTGTTTGTCGATTCATCTTTAGAAAAACTTATTTGCATATGCCATTTAAACATTTTATAGATGCTGGACAGCATATATAAAGTATATTATTGCTCAGCCCTATCACTTCGTAATTTTTTATTCATTCATTTACTTATTTATATCAATTTACTTATTTAATTGTTTTTTTTTACAGAAACCTAACAAGTTTTTCTCACGGGCCTGTGAGCTCTAAAACTCCGCTGAGAGGTTACATCTCTCGTGTTATCTGTGTTGACGTCTCGTTTAATTCGTAATGGGAAAATATTACCCATTCAAATGAAGTAGCAAATGCACTCAGACTAAATATCTGAATAAAACTTGAATTTCATAATGCCTTATTAGCTATTAAAACATATAAAATTATAATTCCGTGCAGTTATTCCCAATGCAGCGCTTGCAGTTTATAAAATGAAAGTTTCATTGGTATAAATGCTTCGAGCTCCGGCCGCGGCGTTACGAATGAAAAAAAAAAATCTGAGAATAAAGCCGACAAGCTGTATCTCTCAGGAACAAGTCGACTAGCAATAACCAGGATGCACTAAAACTAACTTACAAAGTCAGTCCGTAAAAAGAATAGCAACCATAACACTTGCGAGAGCTGCGCCCCCAGAGTTCATGTGCCTAATGGACGAGACGCAGCCAGACTCCAGTCCAGCGCGGGGTTGCAAGAGACGTTTTCTAGATTTATTTTGAAATTGTTCCTCATGGGACCTCGTCTCTAGCTACTCGGGAATAATTTCTCAAGAAATCCTCTCCTTAAAATTATTCTCATGGAGCTTCTCCTCGATCTTTTCATATATATTTTTCAGCTAGACGTTCATTCATTTATTGTATAATAGTCTTATTTATCATTACTTTTTTCCAGCACCTTATTCTAGATTTCTGTGTAATGATTTTTTTAGCATTTGATGATCATATTATATAATAAGTGTGATGAATGAAAGTGCTAAATCATAATAAATTCATTAGATTGACATAAATTACTTCTATTCAGAATGGAGCCGAACAATCGTCCAATAGTTCTCCCTATTGCAGTTCCAGTAATGAATGCATCAGCTGAGAACTTCAAATAAATTAGTTAATTCAAACTCAAAATATTGCAATTTTCCAGTTGATTATTTTTTATGCAAAAATATATATCTAAGACTGGATAGAAATTCAATTACAATTTGATCAATTTTAATTTCTTCAATTGCCTTTAAGAGTTTAAATAAGTTCTGAATGAGCAACGGTTCAGGATGATCTCTGAGCAATCGAATTAACTTCAAATTCCCTCTTTACGCAATAAATGTACAATTAATTAAGCAATTGCAGGAAGTGCATTATGCATAACATAAATTATCATAATACAAAACATCCTAATTAGGTGGTTAAAAAACAAAAATTTTGTGGCTTTCAGTTTACCTACAGCATCTTACATTGTTCGTTCCTATGTATAAGTCAGCAAAATCCTTGCTGAAAAAAAGCTCACCTTACTTCTTTTGTGTTGAATAATCAAAACAAATTCACAAAGCTCCAAATCCGTCATATTCTTTTACTGGGAACAAAAACATTCTCTTAATCTTTACTTCACTGTTTGGAACGGTGTTCAGTCTTCTAGTCTTTGACTCGAAGTCTTTATTGGTCTTTACAGGAGGCGAAGGGCTCTGACAGCGGTAACTACTCATGTGCTCCATCGAACACAGCTCCAACTTCTCTCAGGGTTCACGTACTCAACGGTGAGAGTGATACATATCAGAGTCTCGATTTACGGTTCACCACTCTCAATAAAATGTTGCTAACTCTGAAGAAAGTCCGGCGTCTTCAGTACCAGCTCACTAGGAAAAGAATGCCGAATAAACTCTTGAATGTCGTTAACTGTAAACGGTGAAACTCATGAGCTTGTTTGTCAATAAGTCACTAACTCTCTTCATTCAGTTTGTATTGAGTAATGGCTTTAAAATTTTTTATCCCTTTCATTGCTAAGAATGAGGGCAAAGAGACAATTGGAAGAATTACCAATATTCTCTGTTTCAAAAACTTCAATCTGTTTCGTAAAATTGAATTGGATTTTAAAGCTTGAGTCTTTTTCAGTTCTATAAACCACGGATCATAAATGACATTGAAATTCAAGCAAATCAATGATTGTGGCACGTGTATGAAGGCTTCTTGTCATTGAATGACATATATTCGAAATTTTGCCTGAACAGCAATTTTTCGCAATGCACGTTCAATGCCTTGCTTTCAAGTAAATGGCTGCTCGCAAATTTGTCCAATATTAGACCCAATTGAGAGAAGAGACCAATCTAGGTTGTCGCGCAATCAAAGGATTTGTTCGAGGGCAGATACATCGAAAAGATCAAATATGATGCATGTAGGTATGATAAAAAATATTCGTTAATATTACCATCTGGGGCCTTGGAATAAAACTCGGAAGACAAATTAGTGGAGAAATAATTTCATTGTATCATCAGAAGTATCAAGTTTCATTGTTTTTTCCTTCATCGCTACCGCACGCAACGTAATCTCTGATTTATAATCAGATTCAGAATAAAGGCAATAAGTCTTCTCAGTCTCGTCTTCAATCCAGTATTTTTGATTTTTCACATCAAAATTATTCTAACAAATCTTTTAGTACTTTTGATTCCGTCATGTGTTACGCTAGTTTTAAATCTGGCTCCCGCAGCAATAAACTAGCTTTTTCATTTTACTGTACTGCCTCAAAGCAAGTGTATTTTTATTACCTGATGAATGGTTTCCACTAGTCATATCTACGGAATCACTTTCTGAATCAACGGCACGATTTTGTGAGTCACATTAATCATCACTTATTTCGCATCAAAAAATATATCGTAAGTCACATAAAGCATCACTTTTAGCATCAACAATTAACGAAGCGGAAGTGGTAGGCAGTAAACGAAGCCTTCTTTGTTTTGTCATCAGGCGAGATGCCAGCAGCAATGCAGACGAGCTCAGCTCACCCTAGAGCGGATCACCGACCTCTTCTCTTCTTGCTGTGTCTGCTGCTGCTGCGTCATCTCCTCACGGTCACTCACGGGTCGCAACTTCCAGCGATGATCGTGGCGAAACCTTCCACGAAAAACACCACTGATTCAACAGGTATCTCCGATTCTGTTAACGAAACTATTACGGTCGACAACGCCGGTATCGTTGACACAACCGATGTCGTCGACACCACAAATAAAGTGGACATTAGTGGTGCCGCTGAAACCGCCGGTATCGTTAACACTACCGATGTTGTTGACACCACAAATAAAGTGGACATTAGTGATGCCGTTGAAACCGCCGATGCCGTTGACACCAAAACCGCGGCCACCACAAATACAGTGGACATTAGTGATGCCACCGAAACCGCCGGTAACGTTGACACAACCGATGCCATCGACACCATAAATACAGTGGACACTACCGAGGCCGTCGAAACCGCCGATGCCGTTGACACCAAAACCACGGCCACCATCATTGCCGCAGTCGCTACCAACATCATCGTGCTGAGTGGCTGTGCTTGTCAAACAAAGAGAGCCGCGTTGCAAACAACACACGCTAGCTATAAAAAGTTGCTTGACCAGAATACGAACAAAAATATTGAGGAATTTATTTTTTGGGAATCGCGTGATCACTTTGATGAATCGATACACCAAGAACATTTGTCGAATGTCCAGTGTAACCACCAATTTCAAGGTTTTCAATCTCAACTTGATGAATTTAACATCGGAGTTTCTTTCACTCGAAACTTTAATATTGATGCAAACCAATATTTAAACTCAAATTCAATGACACTGACTTCAGCAGAATGTTTTCCAGCTGAAAATTTTTATACTGCTAATGACAAGCCGGCCGTATATTGTTGAATAGTGAGTAATCTATGTCGTATAGAATAATGTATATATCAATTGTACGAAGAAAAATTGTATAAATGGATGTTCTGAATATTATATTGCTATTCATCACGATATTAATGTTTTTGTACATAATTAGTTTCGTATGAAATTATTAGTTGAGATTCAATTGATTTGCGATGACTGCGATCAATTAATGCCCTGACAAAATTTTTACTCTGAATATCGTCCAGCATTGTTGTGCGAAGATTTCTCCTTGAACAAGTGCACATTTATATTTATATTTAATGAGAGCCCTATCCTTTGTATTTATTAATACTTATCCATCACATCAGTCCTTGCATGTAAAACTTTGAAATATTCTTTATTCGATTACGCTTACAGAAATTTAATACCTTCAGATATTCGCTGAAAAATAATTTAGAAATGTAATATTCCCAGCCATAATTAAATGACTTACTAATCGGGATATACATTCATGGCAGGATGGATATTGTACATTTTAATTTAGAATTAATGTCTAATGTTTTGTAATGTTTATGAATGTTGAAGGTCCGTATACTCCGAATAAAAATGTCAAAAAATAAAAACTAAATCATTATTATCCCTTTTCTGCAATCGGATTACACTATGCAACTCAATTTAATCCCGTCATAGCTCCAAAGTTTTAAAAAATACTAAAATGATTTGAACTAAACTGATCAATGCCCTGGAACGCATGCTAGGCTGTCGCACCACCGTGAAAATCTAGAGCATCTGAATAATTAACGAAAATACAAAATTCTTCACGCGAGTTCTCTATTTCCAAGGATTGGGGCTCTTCAATAAAAAATGCAATTTCGTAAGATTTCGATGTTATCTCTGAGTCGAGGCTCTCTTGCACACGAGGCTGGGGATTGTTGAAAATTTTTTGGCGGCCGTCTTTTGACCATCAAGTTGCCTACGAGAAACGGACCAAGATTTCAAATAGGGTAGTGACAAAATCTAGAGGGTCATCTCAATGAAGCTTCTATTTCTTTAACGGTGGAACTTGGACCTGTAACTGAGAGTTGCGGCCATAACAACGCTGTTGTGATGTTATTGAAAAATTTCTCTTGTCAGACGCAGGCCTTCGAGAACGTGCAGAACTACACCTGCACTACCACAGTCATGCTTACCCTTGCACTTGTGGAGGCTTGGGCCTTACGCTTCAATGCTTTATAAATAAAATGCAAAAAAATGCAGCCTCGTGGCCTTAGAATATTGGAAAATTATTATGCGAGTATTGCGATTCGTTTGTGCATCAACATTATGATTAACTTTATTGAAATTTAGATTTCGTTCCACTTTAAGCCACGTATTAAGGAAAATGTGTCGTCGTAATTTATAAACTGAAATGAATGCATATTTCTCTCATCAGATTCCTCTTGAATAATAAAAAAGTGCGCAACTAATGCCATCAACCTACACATTACTGAAAAAATCCATAAGCTATCTCTTAAAGAAATAATCCAAGTTCATTCAACCAGTAATTATTCAAACTACAGAATAAACATACGCTTAATATTTTCATAGTCTGTAGTAGTTATAGGTTTTCTCTTTGAGGATTTGTTCATCTCATTGCGTCTTGGTGGCAACATCGGGAGAATTTCATACAGGCTGTGCAAGCTTCTAGTCCGTCAGGATTAAATTGAATTCCATGAACATTATTTTTTCATGTGCTTGTAGCATTAAACCTCAATTTTACTAACCAGTTTAATTTTCAAAGTCTCCTTACTATTTTTTGTACTAAAATTCTGAGAACTTCAACCGTTATTTTCTTCAGCTGATTGTTTGTGGCCTTCGTAGAATTCGATTTTCCGTAAAATTCAACTGTTCGTAGAAGTCAGTTCCTGTTATTGAGGTTAATGCTTCATGATTACTTTTAGACCGTGATTTTGCATTTGCCCATGAATGTTGTTGACATCTGAATGTCGTATGTTCTTCGTTCGACTTCTGCTACAATATTGAATACACCTAATATGGTCAGCGTTTGATTCAGAATATATTTTTCAACGGTTTAAGTCTTCTTTGCGTCATTAATTCTAATTTTTTGTATTGATCTTCCGAATCCATTGCTTTTGAATCATGAAAAACTATATCGAACTTCAATGTATTTATATCCGGATTTAGGCAAGGGAAAATTCTACAGTTGACAATTTTTTAATGCTACCGGTACAATATATAACTCGGTAATACTTGCATTTCATGTTTTCATTTATATTTTTCCATGACGTGTGCTCAGTTCAAACTCCCCAACTTTAATCCCGAATTTAAACAGAAAAACTTTAAAGCTTAACCCCGGAGCAAATTCCCACCAGCTAATGGTACGAGTATTAAACTCTGTGAAATTATCAAAGCGCATCATATTTGAATTTATTATTCTTCTTTGCAATTCCTAGTTACTATGTGCTGAAATAAATAGAAAATGTTAATTTTGGCCTCAATACCCCGGATGAATATTTTATTAAACGAATTAAAAATATAATACTTAATTTCTAATCAAATTGCAAGTATTTCTTGCTATCATTCTCCCTGATATTCTTTTAGTTTTTTGCTGGATTCATGGCCAGAAAAACTGACATGATGTTGGAAATTTTATTTTACCAACCGGGCTGATTGTGTTGACATAACAAGCATGTTTTTAATGCCAGGGCAATAACATGGCTGATAATGCCTTGTTTTCGTGGACTGCTAATGTGGTGTTACACATTCAGACATGAGAACTCGCTACGTCTGTTTGCAGGTGATACTCGTACTCTTGTATGAAAACAGACGTAGGTGATATTTATACTCATGAATGATACACATACTCTTTCTCAGTATTTTAAATAACGTTCTTACTGTAACCATGCACAATTTGCTTTATAGTCATCCGGAAAATTAGATAATATATCACAGTTCAGTTCAGTAGAGAGTATTTATTGAAAAAATTTGTTGGTTACAATGTTTTAATCTTCTCGTGATCTGACGATAAAAAAGTTAATTTTTTATTTAACAAGAAGAATTATTTTCCGGGGGCATGTTCATTTAAAAAGATCGTATTTTGTCCTTTTATATCATAACAGTTTAATTGATGAGACGGAATTTTCGTGCAATTTCATTAACGGTTACGTGATTTATTCGTGTGTTAAGTTTAATTTGCACTTAGAAAAAAGATGACAAAAAGAAAAAAGATGACTTAGAAAAAAGATGACGTAGCCATACATAGGCTACGCTTGAAACCATTCCACAATATTTTCCCAAGTTAGTTAGTGAGCAAAATCAGGAGTTCAGTTTGTCTCGAACTTCGACTGATAGTAGCGAAGGAAAGTTATCAACAGTTTCATAACTTCTCTATTCAATGAGAAACTCGAGAAGCATCCTCCCACACGGATTTTTGTGAACGATAATAAAATTTAAATGCCACACTCTGATCGAAACTATTCTATTAATGACAATCAGAAGAAAGTTAGAAGTTAATTGGCCATCCAAAAAAAGCCTTGAGTTTCGTTTGCGATTAAAATTCAGAATGCAGCGAAATTATTCATGAATTTGGTCTGAGCTTCCCTCTCAGCATTCATTGATTCTCTCAACCTTCATTGATTTTAGCTCTGTTTCTTTGAAGAGACTAATTGAATTGATGATAAGTTTGGTGATTAGAAATTATCTATGTCTGAGCGTATTACGGTTACCGTATTTTTAATCAAATATCTTGTGTGGTATATAGATCTTTGGACAATTATCTCAAGAACTGATCTAGTGATGGTTTAGGCAACTTTTCTCCTTAAATCAAACGAACAAAAGTTCTCGCAAAATGTTTATCTTGTCAATCCTATTTTTCGTAGTGTTTGATGTGATGAACTGCGGACGGTTGCAGATTAGACTAGAGTCCCTTCAACGTTGCTCATGTCAGGGAAATGTTTCAACATTGTGAAAAATAGAACCGACATATCAGTGGACATTAAATAGTCAAACGCAGCTTAATTTTTTATGCTCAAAGCATGTGTTTTAAAACCGGTGAATAAAGTTATTGAATTAAATCTGAGGTCCATTTTCTGTATGCAAATCTTTTCGAAAATTTTCATAGGCTTACCGGTGGCAATTGAATCGGTTAGGGCTTTTATCTCCTACCAATAAAAACAATTAAGGATATTGTTTGAATTTTCGTTCTTTTATGTTCGAGGTAGCTGAAGAAAATCGTTAAAGTGTACGCTCATTTCAAAATGGCTGAACATTTCCTTCTGAAAATATTCCGTGAAATTCCCGGCTATTGTCACCAATTTGCAAATGAGCACCAGTGCATAAATCGTGACGGCAAACTTGTCTTCTATTTTCCACCATTCCCACAATCTTGCCTTAAATAAGACTTTGGCATAAATTCAACGACCAACTATAATTTAATTTAATTGATTAGGAAATTTCTTTGTTACGTAAACTTTGTTCGTGGCATCGTTTAAGTTTTTTTGCTGTTTGGGGAAAAATAATTTATCATTCAAACTTAGCCGTCAAAATTCTGATCATTAATTTGTAGGTTATCTCTTATTGGACAGATATTTCTTTTGAAATACACATGTACTCTGTTACACTCGGAGCGTTTGGGAACGTACAAAACGCTCTATTTTCACTGATGAGAAGATGCAAGATTTTGGCAGCGTAAGAAAAAGAACGGTGTGCTTTGGATATTGAACAAAAACTCATAAAACCGAACTGTTAAGTAAATGCAAGTAACGCTCGCTTCAGTTGGTCCGCGTGCAGGATGCACATGATGCTTCAGGAAGCCTCATGTGCAGCATAGATATTTAGTTCATTCAAGCTCTTTTTAATATTTAAGTTGTGATAGTGAATTCCTTGCACGAGTATAAATTCTAGAACACAATTTATATGAGTCGTACTAGAATATTATTAGTTTAGCGAAAATTGCACGTACAGTATACAATTATGTTGTTTGGGGACGCAGTGCTATATTGTTTTAATACAGTTATTTATTCTGATTTTTTGTTTTAAATTATCTCGGACGTGACCTCTTTCAGGATGGCTCTGTGCGCGTTACTTTATCATTTGATCTGTTTATTTTTGTGATGATTTTCTGTTTCAATTCAGTGGTGGTATTTAGAGGGATCCATGATTAGGATTATCAGTCTTTTATTTATTTATCTTGTTTACATTATATTCTGCTTTTGCTGTTCAATTATTGCTAGTTCTAAATTCTTGTTTATTTGCTATTTTTAGAAATTAGGCCCCGAATTTTGAGTCCTAAGTAAGAACTAGTGCGGAAAGAACACACGGTCATATTCTTGACCTCATTCGTACTTGTTTGTTTATTATAGTTTTCATTTATAATTTTTACTCATCCTTACTCACTTAATTTTTACTACTACTACTTAATTTTTACTCATCCTACATGTTTACCACCATACACACGCAAACGTCTTTGAAGAGCTCTGCAATGGCGTGGCAGTCTTATTGAACTCAATTGGTTTAAAATCAATTCTGAAGGTTTGCTCTCTTCCCAAGTTTCATTATTCATTCTGAAAATCAAGGAGGATTATTGAAATACTTTGGGTTATACTAA